AAATGAGAACTAAATGAATTTCTCATCCATTTCCAGAATCTCCTATTTAGGTTTTAGCTGAGAGTAAAACATTCTAGATCTGTGATGGCAAACTTATGGCACGCGTGCCCGAAGTGGCACATGCAGCCATGTCACCTGGCACATGCGGCGTCTCCCGTTCCTCTTCTGTGTTTCTGACACACATGCACGCTTGATGATCAGCAGGCCTTTGTGCATGTGGCAGTGCCGGAAACTGGAAGAGCTGGTCTTCCATTTTCTGGCGTGAGCATACATGCTGGCCAGCTGATCGTCGGGTGTGCATGCACGCCATTAACCAGAAGACTTTCTGGCCATTGCGCATGCACGCGCTGGAAACCAGAAGTTCATTTTCTGGCGCGCACATGCCCACTGGGCAGCTTCTCTTTTGGGTTGCATCTCAGACAAGCGCGTACACACTCCCTTTTCGGCACTCAGTGCCAAAAAGGTTCACCATCACTGTTCTAGATAGTAATATATATTCACTAAGAAAATAACCTGATTATGACCAACTGTATTACAAATTTCTGAGTGTTCCAAATTCCTAGGCTTGCCATGTCTAAGGAAAAATATAACAAAATAAAGGAATGAGACAGGATTAAAACCACCAGGTTTCTTTTTGTGAGATGAATGGAAGAAGTGCATGTTTAAAAGAGGATGGATCACACTAAGTAAAACTAATACGATCCATTTCTGAATTCAGGATTAACCAGATGAATACTGTGAGTTGTGAATATGGCTGCTCCTTATAGTAGCACTGATATTCTGTTGATTGTGAAAGAAGTAGTTGTATTATGAATTCCATCAAAATCGGGGGTGTCAAACTGGCGACCCACAGCCCAGATGCGTCACATGCAAGCCATGCCTACCCAGCTCCGTGAATGGGAGGTGCTAAGATGCATGCACGCGTGGCAAGCGTCCATGTGGACGCCACTGGGCCCATTCCAACCCTACCGGTTGGAATGGGATCCGAAACCCACCACTGTTCCAATGGCCCAAAGATAGCATCGGATACACATAAGAGAAATCTTAAAGTGAAAAGGACCAGTACTGAGCCCAATGAATGAAGCCTCTTAATTGTTCTTTGGAAAGATACACCTATGCTTGTATCCTATTCAGTACAATGCTTTGGCCAAACTATTTAAATTGTGAGCATTATCAATATATTTCACGTATAGGTGTAATATGAGCAACAATATGCTTATTAATAAGGCAGTGACTAGACAAAAAGAATCCTCCCTTGCATAGAATAAGCTAAAATTGGGATAAAACTGAACTGGGTTTCACTCAGTTTGACATTGGTCAAAATATGCCCGAACTCATGGATGCTGTTTTTACTGTTATGAGGGAATGTTGGGTGCTTTGGGCCAGTCACTCTTTCTCAGTTCAACCCAGCTCACAGGGTTGCTGTGTGGAAAATAGACAGGCCGAATAAAAATCTAAAGCATTGCACTTGAGAATCAGAATTTTTGTATGATGATAGAAGGTACAGTAGACATCAATGCTTTGAGACAGTTACAAGTCACTGTATGCTATATTTTCAAAATTTACTGAGAATCATTTTCACTCAGATCCCAAATTAGAAAGAAGGTGCTACTGGAGTCTACAAAAAACCTAAATAACATTTTGTTTCCTCGTATAGTCATACTTTGTGCTTCAGTTATAAAGACTTCAATTCAGTGCTGATTTATTTGCTGAAACAAATAAACACTTCTTGATCTGAAATTTGGATGGCAAAGTATTCTTATTGCCTCAATGTATATCTAGATGACTGCATTTCACCTGTTTCTGCCTAACCTGATATATATATTAGATTTTTACAACCCCTGGTAAGCCCCAATTATGGGAGGAAGCTAACTGCTTCCATCATCTGTCAATCGGTTCGTCACAAGAGTCCATCACGACAGAAACCCAATATTTTTACTGTTGCCTTTGTTATATTTGTGTTTTTTTTATTTGTCTCCCTTTATTTATTTAT